TCTGAGAACCCGATGCTCCCAGAAGTACAAGAACCTCTGTCTGCCGGCTCAGCTTGTCTGACAAAGGACTCAAAATAATTGTTCTGGTTTGTATGAGGTACTTGGTGTGTTTCTGCTAATGATTCTTTACTTAAACAGAGTCTGTCAGTAAAGGCATTTCCCCAGCAGATACAGATCTCAACCACGTCATGCTTTCTTGCCATTTGCAATGCAGATTTGTACATTTCTACCCATTATGGTTATCAACTATGCCATAGGGGCTTGGGCTGGACCCTTTGCCAATTTTCCCTGCATAATCCCCCCCTAACTGATGAACTAACTCCCCCTTTTCCCCCAACACACACCCTCCTGAATTTGTCTCAAGAGCCAGAATTCTTGGTTAAAGCTTCTCTCTACCTTAAATTATACTTAGCTGTGTATGTGTCTTACACCTGACCCCATCCATCATTCAGGATCAAGATTAGATGTGATTTCATTGGCATAAAGAACTTCCAAGGTAGGAAACTCCCTTCACTAATGCAGGTAGGCACCCTCTCATATCTTATAGTCTTTTTGGCCCAGGGTCACATAGCCAGTATATCCAAAGCATGACTTGAACCCAGATCTTCCTGTCTACAATACTAGCCCTCCATCCACAACACCAAGTAGTTTCTCCTCAACTGCCAATATTGCTATATAAATGTCAGCTGTTATTCTTGTTATTATTGATGTAATCCAATGTATAAAGCTTGTCCCAAGCACACATCTGGGAAAAGACTAACAGGAAAAACAGGGCAAATTAGCCATGAAATTGGCGATTCTAGAGCCACACTGTTTTCCAGGCTCACCTGCCTCTCTGGATCTACCTGCCTCTAAACTATGCACCTTAACTCAAGCTCCTCTGCTCAGTCCTGCCACGACCCCACCGCTGTTGGCACTCTCCAGACTCAGCGTACTTCCTAACAATGTATGTGTTGGCACGCTTCATTCCCCTTCATGGACAACATAAACACAGAAGCTCTTTGTGGGTGAAATGTTTCATTCTTGTCTTTATAGCCCCAGTGCAGAGCACAGTACCTGATACTTAGTAGACACTCATTGAATGTTTATTGAATTGAACTGCTGTGGATGACAGTGACTTACTTCATTATAGTTCTTCCCATGACACAATTTTCAGGAACATCGGTCTGTGTATAGCAATACCTACCTACCTATCCATCTATCTACCTATCTACCTATCTATCTATCTACCTACCTATCCATCTATCTACCTATCTACCTATCTACCTATCTATCTATCTATCTATCTATCTATCTATCTATCTACCTATCTATCTATCTATCTATCCATCTATCTATCTATCTATCTACCTATCTATCTATCTATCTATCATCTATCTATCATCTATCTATCTATCTATCTATCTATCTATCTATCTATCTATCTATCTACCTATCTATCTACCTATCTAGCCTATCCTATCCTGTTCTATTCTTTCTGTCTCTGTGTGTGTCTCTCTCTTTCTCTCTCTCTTTCTCTCTCCCCCTCTCTCTTCAGTCCTCAATACTTATGAATTTTGTATTTGTGAAGTTGCCTCCTTGTCCCCAAATCAATATTCGCTGCATTTTCTGGTCATTCGCAGACCTGCATAGAGCAGTGTAAGATTTGCATTGCCCAACGTGCACATTCCCACACAAAGAGGCACAAGGTAACATTCTACCTTGTGGCTTCCGTTCTCATACTGTAAGTTAGTGTCCTTTTTGTGGTCTATGTAGTGCCATTTTTCACACGTTTTCACCCCCAAGCATCATGCTGAAGTGCTGTCTAGTGTTCCTAAGCACAAAAAGCTCGTGATGCTCCTTATGGAGAAAAGATACATTCAGTAAGCTTCGCTCAGGCCTGAGTTAAATAGGGTCTTTAAACAGAAACCCACATAAGACGAGGTTATGGGTGGCTTGATTGATGAAAGTGTTATGATTAGAGTCTTGCAGGAACATAGCCCTGTAATACCCCTTGGAACTCCCTCGGAATAGTGGTCTAGTATTCACTAATTCAGCCTTCATCCTGACTCTGTACAACATAACTACCACCAATGAGGAGAATTGACTCTGTGTGTGTGTGTGTGTGTGTGTGTGTGTGTGTGTGTGCGCGCGCACGTGTGTGTGTGTGTGTGTGTGTGTGTGTGTTACATTGGAGAGCATTATGGATTTTCCCATTTTGAGAAGCTGTGTGGCTTAGAAGGTGGAGTTTGAGTTCCAGTTCTGCTCCTTACCAGACTGGGCATGCCACAACCTCTCAGCATCAGTTTTATCAATTGTAGAATGGGGAGATGAGTCAAAGGATTAAAAGTATGAAGGGTATTATGAAAAGAACTGTAGGAACATGAGCTTTGTGGGCTCCATGATTTTTTTGTGTGTGGAGATTCCCTCCACAGTGTAATATTTGGGAAAATAATGAAATTGTTCCTTATGTAGAAACACAGCGGAAAATGTCTCTTCTTTCAACTCATTCAAGTGTTTACAAATCTATTACTTGTAGGCTATAATATTTGTCTAGGAAACTTTTTAGGCCGACCAGGTGCAACATGGGTTCTTTCTGCTGTTTGTCAGTTTACCTATTTCCCAAAAATTCTTTAAAAAAGATTTTTTGCAATAATCTCCAGTTTCTTAAGAAATATATGGTCCTTGTCATCTAAACTTGCTGACTTGAAAATATTCAGTTTGTTTTATTTGTTTGGAAAGAATAAAGAATTTGACCTACTTTCTAATGCTGATCCTGGCAGAACATTCCAATCATCTTTTTTGTAGCAGCTTCTTCATCCTTGGTCACATGTATTTGGAGTTCATAAGTTTCTTTATATGCATTAACACTTTGATCTAAATGTCGGCTATATTGCTAAAATGGAATCTCTTCCAAAGGGAAAACATCTTTAAGTATTAAAATGAAAAATACCCACCTTGCTACTTTGATCTTCCATGACCTCAAAGGGGCTTAGATTTAAAGTTGGAATATATTTTAGGTGCCATTAACTCCAACCCCTTATTTTATAGATTAGTAAACTGAGGCCTGGGGAGTTTAAGTGCTGTGCCTACGACTACACTGAGATTCAAGACTAAGTTTCATGACTCTAAATTCAGCTCCCTCTCCTCCCTCCCTCCCTCTCTCCCTCCCTCCCTCCCTCCCTCCCTCTCTCTCCTCTCTCTCCCTCCCTCCCTCCCTCTCTCTCTCTCTCTCTCTCTCTCTCTCTCTCTCTCTCCCCCCCCAGCACTACACTGCCTCCTCAGGGTAGGGGCTCCCTTCCTTGAGTACAGTCTTTGATTAGATATTGGAAGATGAGGTGGGGAACGGTCCAAGATGATTTTGAGGTTTTGTAACAAGAGAGACTGGGAGACTGGTGGTGGCTTCAGCAGAAATAGGAAATTTAGAGGAGACGTGTTTAGGGGGTAAGCTGGATTGACTCAGAAGCATGAAGTTTGAAGTTACAATGGGACATTCAGGTGGGGATACCAGCAGGCAACTAGTGATGTGGCACTGGAATTCAGGGGAGAGAGCAAAGCTGAATATATTAGTACAGGAAATAATTGTAGAAGTGATGGTTGAACTTAAGGGCTGAACTTAAGGGTGAAGTCACCAATGGTGAGAGAATGGAAGTGAATAGAAAGGAAGAGGATAAGAGACTGGAGGAGGGGAAGAGGGGCAGGGAAGGGAACCATGCAGTATATAAGACTGGGAACTTGAATTCACCACTACAGACCCTGAGTCTAATATGTTTTCAATTATAACATGCTTTCATTCAAGAAAGGAAGGAAGAGAGGAAGAAGGGAGGGAGGAAAGGACCAAAGAAAGGGAAGGGAAGGGGAGGAAAGGGAAGGGGAGGGGAGGGACAGGAACTTCTCTGGCCTACACTTGAAGACCTCCTACACTGGACAATTCACTACCTCCCAAGTCTGCCTATTCCACTTTACTCCAGCTGTTACTAAGTTTTTCCTGATCCTGAGCCAAAATCTGCTGCCCTGCAACTTCCAGCAATTTCTAGCAGTTGTATTCTGAGGCCAAACTAAACAAGCTTAATCCCAGACAATTATTAATGACAAAGTCATTAATAAAATAGAACCCAATGGCCCTCCACTCTAGACCTCTCGAGCCTTGACATGTTGATCGTCACTCATTGGGTGCACCTGAATGTGCTTCTGGATAGTACACCTCTCTCCATCTTGTCCAAAAGAATACTGTGAGAGAACCGGTCCAAAACCTTGCTGACATGTGCGTGTATGAAGTCTTTGGCATTTTCCCACTCCACACCCTATTTAAAAAAAAAGAAATGTGGCTAGTCTGACACAACTTGCTCCTGAGAAATCCTTGCTGGCTGGCTGAGTGCTTGTCAATTCTCCTTCCCCGTGCCTTCAAACTAGCGCTTTGTTAATTGCCTCCAGAACTTGACCAGGAGTGGAAGTCAGGTTTGGACAATACGCCCGTTTCCCTGTTTTGAGAACCAGAGCAGCAACTGCCTGTCTCTCATCCTGCTGGAAACCTCTCATTCTCACTTTAATGGTCGTCACCCAAAGCTCAGCAGAGCAACTCTGAGCCTTTTCGATATCAGGGCAGGGAGACAGATCATGTAGTCGACAAGCCTTTATTAAGGACTTATGTGGAAGGCACCTTGCTCAGTGCTGGGGATACCAAGACAGGGAAAGTCCCTCCCCTCGAGCTCACAGTTCAATGAAGGAAACAAAGTGCAAACAACTTTGCACAAACAAGGTGGAGACAGGACAAGTTGGAGATGATCTGCTACGACTGGCCATTTGAACTCATTAAGGGTATTTTCAATTCATCAAATATTTATTAAGCACCAGGTATGTGCAAGGCACTATGCCCAGCAAGGTGGTGCAGCGGATAGAGTGCTGGGCCTAGAGGCAGGAAGATCTGAGTTCAAATCTGTCCTCAGACACTAACTGTGTGACCCTGGGCAAGTCACTTAACTTCTGTCTGCCTCCGTTTCTTCAACGATAAAATACCTTCCAGGGTTATTGTGAGGATCAAATAACAAAAGGTTGTGAAGCACTTAGCAGCTCTTGACGTACAGTAGGCACTAAGTAAATGCGTGTTTCCTTCCTTCTCGCACTGGGCTCCTGAGATCCAAAGGAGGCAGGCCCTGCCCTTGAGGGCTTCACATCCTGCTCCAGGAGCACGAGCAGCGAGCAGCACAATCTCTACCTTTACCTTGGGTTTCCTTATCTTGGGTCCTCCTCTGCACATTGTTCTTTCCTTCCCAGTCTGAAGGTCAGTCTCCTGCTGGATAAAACAGACACAAAACTGGAGCTGAGTATGTGTGGCACAAGTGAAAGCTTCTCATATGAAATGGAAGCTGTGCCCCAAATTTAGGAAAGGCTTTAGCAGGAGCTGGGCCTAAGTTTCATTTTCCTCTAAATCATTTGTTTTGGGGGATAAGTAGGGTCATACACCAGCTGCCCACCCCCTCCCTTGTTTTGTAACTACCACCCCAGCCTTATCTTTGCCGAATAAGGCAATCTTCTAGCTCCCAAGCCTGTTTTGGGTAAGATGTAGCTCTTAGTTTCTGGGCAGAATGTAAGGTCTCTCACCTCAACCAACGAGGATAAAGAGACTGAGGTAAACAAGTGTGTGTGTGTGTGTGTGGGGGGGGGTTCTTAGAGTTGTTTGTCTAAGGGTATATAACTGCTTGCTTGCTGCTTGTATCCTGCCTCCCTACTCCAGTCCGCCCGGGGTAGGTGATGCCCATTCTCACGTGAGACTTGCTAGAATAAAACTTATTTTTCTACTGAGAGAAACCTCTGAATTTTATTTGGGTAGGTGGTCTCTAACCCACTCAAGTAGTTCTACCTTCAGTCATCTGTTCTCATTGTCCCACCTATTCCAAGTACTCTACCCATTCCCTGGTCTTTCTCTTGCTCCTCAAACACTCCTCCTTTAAATATCTTTTTTTTGTTGTCCTTGGCATCCTTTGTAAACCCAACATTGCTCTGAGTTTCAGCATTTCTGACTCTGTGCTGCTAGGGTCATGCCAAGGTTTCTCTTCACATCCAGTTACTTGTCCATATTTACATCTTCTGTATGTGGCTTTATTTTTTTTTTAATCTTAGATAATGAGCACCCTGTGTAGCCACATCAGTCTCTTTAGGTAACTCCTCCTTTTCTTCCTCATCACAATCATGTGTGTTTCTGTTGTCTATATTTCAAGCTCATCCCTAGAGAGGGCAGCTGGGTGGTGCAGTAGATAGAGCACTGGGCTTGGAGTCACAAAGATTCATCTTCCTGAGTTCAAATCCCATCTCAGAGACTTACTAGCTGTGACCCTGGGCAAGTCGCTTCACCCTCTCTGCCTCAGTTCCTCATCTATAAAATGAGTCAGAGAAGGAAATGGCTGACCGCTCTAGTATCTCTGCCAAGAAAACCCCAAATGGGGTCACAGAGAGTCAGACATGACTGAAACAACTTAACATCCCTAGTGAACCAACTTCCTCTGCCAACTCTTTGGGCTCTGAGACCTTGTTCTCCTTTTCCTGAACTCTATAGAATCGACAGTGTCAAAGCCCAAGAGACATATCAGATTATGACTGTTCTCTCCCTTACATGTGTCATTAGCCCTAAGCTGGCATGGTTGCTACCAGTTCTGCCAGGGTTTATCCTCTGACGAGCAGAGCTTCCTATTTCTTCTGAATCACAGCCAGAAGATAAATTCTGTCTTGTTACATCTTCTTCCTTCTTACAGATGGAATTCTCAGCTTCTCTGCTCAAAGCAGAAAGAACCTACAGCACAGTCTGGTCATTCCTCTCTTTGTGTTTGTTTCCTCAGCTGTAAAATGGGTTCACACATAATAACAGGCCCATGCCTTAGAAGAAATGTAGACTAGTGAGTGGAAAGCTGGCCCTCAAGCCAGAAAAACCAAGGTTCAGATTTGGCCTTTGGTGTGGGACACTGAGCAGGTCACTTTTCCTCAGTCTTCTAGGCAACCCCCTGAGGTGACAGGTTGCCAGGCAATTGATGATCTGAATTGATAGAGGAAGTTCCTGATCAGGGATTTTTTTATACCAGTGAAATCACAGGCCAGGACAAAATAAACCAAGGCCCTGATACTTTCCACCAGCTATGGAATAAATAGATCAGGGAAATGAAGCATTTCTCCAAGATCAGAAACAAAGGGCCATAACTAACCTAATTTAATATTAAGAATCCCTCTAGGAGCTAAGTAATTGTATCTGGGTTTATAATGGGAGTGGTCTATCAAATGTATTTCCTGCCATTTGAGCATCAGTCAAAGAAACTGGGTATATTTCTCCTGGGGAAGAGAAGACTGGGGGAGGAGGTTGTGTTTAAGTATTCGAAGAGCTGCCTGGGGAAAGATTATGGCTTAAACTTGTTCCATTTGGCCTCGGAGGGCAAAACTAGGAGGAATAAGTGGAAATTGCAACAAATTTATGCTTTTTTTTGTTTGTTTTTTTGTTTTTTGCTAGGCAATGGGGTTAAGTGACTTGCCTAGGGTCACACAGCTAGTAAGCATTACGTGTCTGAGGCCGGATTTGAACTCAGGTCCTCCTGACTTTAGGGTCGGTGCTCTATCCACTGCGCCATCTAGCTGCCCCTAAACAAATTTATGCTTGCTGTCAGGAAAGAACTTTCTAGCAATGAGAGCTATGGAGTGGACTGCCTTGGGAAGAAGTGGATTTTGCCTCAATGGAAGTCCTCAAGGCAAAGACTGTGACCCCACTGGGGTGTCTTGTAATGATAGAATTCTCCAGAGGCCAAGCCTGGGAGGAGCTAAGTTACCCTTGTCCATTTGGCCTCCAATTCACCTTCCTCCTGCTAGCTACCTCTTTGCACTCCCAACCTCTTTTTCCATCCCCTCTCCCTCCCCACTTCCCACTCCCCATACCTTGCTTTGAGGCTTCAACTCCCTGATGTCACTGTCCTCTTTGAGAACAAAGGACAATCAAATGACTGATCCCACGGCACCTGGAGAGGGCACAACAGTTGACTGTCCAAATATTCGACTCTCCGTCTTTCTGGCCTCGATCCCCTGCTGTCTCCCCACTTAGAGCATAAGCTCCTTGAGGTCAGGGACTGTCTTCTTTTGGTATTTCTATCCCCAGTGCTCAGCACAGGGCTTGATACCTAGTAAATGGCTAGTAAATTACTAGCCATTAGTTTATATATTCATTCAATGCTAGTGGCCTCCCTTCTAAATGACCTTGTATTCAACTACTTTGTATTTATTCTTTCTATGTATTCTATAGCTACAATAGTTTTATAGACTCCCTATATACAATGTTTTCTTACATATTAGACTTGAGCTCCTTGCCGGCAGGGACCGTCCACTTCATTATATGTGTATCCCTGTTTCCCAGCACAGTGTCTGGCACAAAGACGGTACTCACCAACTGTTCCTTGACTGCATGTCCAATAACAAGTGTGTCTAAGACTATCTTGGCCTGCTTCACACTATGCCCTGATCCTAAAGGGAGACATATTCAAATTTGACGCCAATTGGATTAAATGAAGGAACAGGGAGTTCGCTGAAACTATCCCAGAATGAAACAATTGAATTGTTGCAGGCAGGACTGCGACTTCCATCCAGATCTGTAGGCTAAAGTTAAGCAATCACATATAATAGATTGTTCCAGGAAGGTAGGAGCAGCTGCTGCTTTTAATCTTATGTACAAAGACAGTAGGGAGGGAAGTGTTTGCTTTCTGTCTGTTTGGGTGAGCCTAAAGTGAGATATGGCACCATCCTTCTGTTTACCTTGGACGGCTAGGTCAGTTTCTTCTCTTCTACAAAATTGCTCAAGCTATTTTCCCATCTGTAATAAAAGGCGATCTATTCATACAAAATACTTCTTTTCTGGAGGCATGGAGGGAGGAAACGCATCTAAAACTTTCTGAAAATATAACCATGCATTGCCCCATATGGGATAAAAGAATTTGCTGTGGTATGTAAAAGTTTCCTCCCCACCAACAGCAGCTACAACTCTATATGTTAAGTAGATTTAAAAATATTTAAACATAAGGAGAAAATTGAATTCAGGATAAAACTTCATTCTGAAGCAAAATAAGTAACTTATTTCATATGATCATAGATTTAAAGCTGGTAAGAATTTCAGAGGTAATTTAATTCAACTCTTTCATTTTACAGAAGAAGAAACTAAGGTCCAGTGAAGTTTAATGACTTATCCAAGGTCACACAGGTAGTAAGCTGGGGAAGGGAGGTTTGCAACTGTTCAATTAGACAAATTTAATTAATACAAATTTTTTTTAAAAGAATGTACTTATGTCAGGGTAGACTTTCATTATGTATTATCTAATAAAGGTATTTTACTAAAAATGGCATATAAAATGTTACTTTCAACTGTATAAATGAAAAAGAGAGTGCTAGAGAGTAATTGCACATTGCTTAGCTTAGTAACTCATTAATTATCACTGGCATCTAGCAATCCTCAATTAAAGCCACTTAGAAATCACTCACCTTCAGCTATCCAGGGACTTTCACAAATGGATGGCTCTGACAAGACATCTATTAATGCAGAGGTTCTTACCTATTAGCTGTCTGGTGAAGACTGCAGAGCTCTTTTTAAGAATATTGCTATTAGGGGTGAAGCCAAGATGGCTGAGTGAAAGCAGTGACTTCCTTGAGCTCTCCCCCAAACCCCACCAAATACTCATAAAAAATGGCTCTAAACAAATTCTGAGGCAGCAGAACTCACAAAAAGACAGAGTAAAACAAATTTCCAGCCCAAGACAACCTGGATGATTGATCAGAAAGGTGTATCACACCGGGCTGGGACCACAGCGCAGTACAGCGTGGGAACACAGGCCACAGCAAACCTGGAGCAGGCCTCAGAGGACTGAATCGCAGGCAGCTGTGGAGGTTTCCAGACTCCTCAATCCACCAATGAGAAGGTCAGTGGGAAAAGTCTGTTTCTGTCAGTGCTCAGAGAGGAAGGTGGGGTCTCAGCTCCATTCCCCAAGAGCATGGGTCTGGGGCCGGGCAGCTTCTTCCCCAGCTTCTGGCCCACAGACTGAGGGAGAATCCAGTGGCTGATCAGAGAGGGACTGCAGGGATCTCTTTGTCAGTGCTGAGGCAGGAATCTCTTGCTTTGCCCGTGTGTGGATCTGGGTCACAGTTCTGGGCGGCAGTGCTGAGGTGAGGAAGAGTGCTGGCGTGGTGGAGCTTGTAGTGGCTGTGGAGAGAAACCCCTCCTCACAGTTACGGGACAGAAAGAAGTAAGCACATTGCCCCTTATCATACCACCTTGGAGGAACTGAAAATGTACAGGTCCCTACAAGTATCTCTGAAAACAGCTACATAAACCCTGAAGCTTGGGACAGTACACTCTCCACATTGGAAGCAGACTCTTACCTTAACAAAGAGTTTAAAACTCAAGTAATTGGCTGGGATCATGAGCAAGCAGCACAAAAAGAGTCAGACTATATTATCTTACTTTGGTGAAAAGAAGATCAAAATATACAACCAGAAGAAGACAACAAAGTCAAAGCTCCTACATCCAAAGCCTCCAAGAAAAATATGAATCAGTCCCAGGCCTTGGAAGAGCTCAAAAGGGATTTTGAGAAGCAAGTAAGGGAAGTAGAGGAAAAACTGGGAAGAGAAATGAGAGTGATGCAAGAAAATCATGAAAAACAAGTCAACAGCTTGCTAAAGGAGACCCAAAAAAATACTGAAGAAAATAACACCTTAAAAAACAGCCTAACCCAAATGGCAAAAGAGGTCCAAAAAGCCAATGAGGAGAAAAATGCCCTAAAAAGAAAAATTGGCCAAATGGAAAAGGAAGTCCAAAAGATTACTGAAGAAAATACTTCCTTAAAAATTAGAATAGAGCAATTGGAAGCTAGTGACTTTATGAGAAATCAAGACACTGTAAAACAAATCCAAAAGAATGAAAAATTAGAAAACAATGTGAAATATCTCATTGGAAAAACAACTGACCTGGAAAATAGATCCAGGAGAGAGAATTTAAAAATTATTGGACTATCTGAAAGCCATGATCAAAAAAAGAGCCTAGACATCATCTTTCAAGAAATTATCAAGGAAAACTGCCCTGATATAGTAGAACCAGAGGGCAAAATAGAAATTGAAAGAATCCACAGATCTCCTCCTGAAAGAGATCCCCAAAGGAAAACTCCTAGGAATATTGTAGCCAAATTCCAGAGTTCCCAGGTCAAGGAGAAAATATTACAAGCTGCCAGAAGGAAACAATTCAAGTACTGTGGAAACACAATCAGGATAACACAAGATTTAGCAGCTTCTACATTAAAGGACCGCAGGGCATGGAATATAATATTCTGGAGGGCAAAGGAGATAGGATTACAACCAAGAATCACCTACCCAGCAAAACTGAGTATAATCCTTCAGGGGAAAAAATGGTCATTCAGTGAAATAGAGGACTTTCAAGCATTCCTGATGAAAAGACCAGAGCTGAATAGAAAATTTGACTTTCAAATATAGGACTCAAGTGGAACATGAAGAGGTAAACAGGAAAGAGAAATCATAAGAGACTTATTAAAGATTGAACTGTTTGCATTCCTGATGGAAAGATGATATTTATAACTCATGAGACCTTTGTCAGTATTAGGGTAGTTAGAAGGAAAAAAATATATGTATAGATAGATAGATAGATAGATAGATAGATAGATAGATAGATAGATAGATAGATAGATCGAGGGCACAGGGTGAGTTGAAGATTAAGGGGTCATATGTGGAGAATAAAATTAAGGGATGAGAGAGGATGATACTCGGAGAAGAAGAAAGGGAGAGGTTGAAGGAGGTTAATTATCTCACAAAAAGAAAACAGAAAAGAAAAGGCTCTTAACAGTGGAGGGGAAACAGGAGAAGGTGAAAGGGAATGAGGGAATCTTATTCTCATAGGATTTGGCTTAAGGAGGGAATAACATACACATTCAATTGGGTATGGAAATCTGTCTTACCCTATAGGAAAATAGAGGGAGAAGGGGACAAGAGAGCAGGGGGGTGATAGAGAGGAGGGCAGATTGGGAAAGGGGGTAATCAGAAGGAAATACTTCTGAGGAGGGACAGGGTCAAAAGAAAAAATAGGATAAATGGGAGGGCAGGATAGGATTAAGGGAAATCGAGTTAGTTTTTCACAACATGTCTACTATGGAAGTGTTTTGCATAACTGCACATATATAACCTATATTGAGTTGTTTGCCTTTTCAGTGAGGGTGGGTGGGGAGGGAGGAAGAGAGAAAATTTGAAACCTAAAGTTTTAAAAACATATGTTTAAAAAAAAAGTTTTCACATACTACTGGGAAATAAGAAATACAGGAGATGGGGTATAGAAGTCTATTCTGCCCTACAGGAAAATAGAAGGGGGGGTAAGAGAAGGGAGGAGAGATAGAAGAGGACAGACTAGGGAAGGGATATTAGAATGCATGCCATCTTGGGGGGAGGGGTGAGATGGGGTGAAAATTTGGAACTCAAAAATTTGTGGAAGTGAATATTGAAAACTAAAAATAAATAAATTTATATTAAAAAAAGAATATTGCTTTTAAATGCATAAAATAAAATACACAGGATTACAAAAAAAAAGTCAAAATACAATTATCAAAACATTTTTTCCCATTCAAGTTCATGGACTCCAGGTTAAGAGTCCCTGTATTAATAGATAGGTATTCTTTTAACGAGAAAGATTTTTCAGTTGACACTCCCAGATGCCTTGATAGTAATCTAATCAGAATAGGAAAAAAGCAACATCAAAAAGAAACAAAAAAAATCTTTGCTTATAGATCTGAATTTACCCCTTCTACCCACCATGTTTCTACTCTCCACACCTTTACCTTCTCTCTAATCTCTACTGTCTGTCTGCCCTCTTAAACAAAGATTACAGGAAAATCAAATCAATTTCCAAAAGGCTCTTTCTTGTTGAAGCTCAACTTTCCCTTGGCTGGATAACTCTTCATGAAATCCACAATTAAATTCTGGTATTTCCCTCCACCCCTTTATGTTTTTAAGTAAGCAGATTTAAAGGACTATTGCCAAAATCATTTGTTTCAGGTTACACAAGTTAAGTTCTCCATCAAGTCCTTCAGACCTTCTACCCACACCCCCAGTAACCTAACTACCCAGTGGTCTATGGAAACTCCAGTGGAGATCCCCTTTGCTAACCCTCCTCTATTCTCCAGATTACCCAATTAGCTCTGGTCAAACCAATGTTCTCCTATGTTCTCCAATGCCCAATGTTCTCCGTTGGTCCTTTTAACCACTTCCTCAGTACTTGTCCCATGTTATCTGAAATCTACCTCTTTTTCCTCATTACAACCACCTTCATTAGCCACTTCAGTAAAGTGATGAACCACCCACATGATTCACCACCTGACAACTCCCCTTTCTCATAAACAATCTCCAAAAAGGTAACTCTGGAGAGGATTTCTTTTCATCAACTGATTTTACACTTTAAGATATAAGAGACCTTCTGTAGAACCTTGAACGTCAAGGCAGAAGGCACCTCAGAGTTCGACACTTTCATTGTTCAGACAAGGAAACTCAGAAAAGTTATATGGTCTGAGGTCACATAGGTGACAAGTATCGGGGGTGAGATTCAAACCAACTCATTTGCTGCCCCAAACCATGCTCTTTCCACTGTGTCACAACATTTCCAGTGCAATGCCTTTCTTATCACAAGCCCCAACAAAGAGCTACCTGATCAACAGTGGAGAAGGGTAGAGACAGTGGGCTACTGAGCCATTGTGAAAACTGTTCTGATGTCCAGTAGACTGAGTAAAATTGACCAGTGAGATTGATGAAGGCAAGTGAGTGGTGGCTTGGTGTCAACTTATAGGATGATTTTGGGGGTTTATCAAGAAAAAAATCCACTTTTTTTCAGAAATTTAAGCAAGCTAAAACTTACTCATCCATTCTGATATTTGCCATTTCCTCTTCCGGCTCATTTGACAGATAATGAAAGTGAGACAAACAGGGTGGGGTGACTTGTTCAGGGTCACACAACTAGTTAAGTGTTTCCATTACTTACTAATTATTCAGCAACTCTCGCATCATTCATACCATCTTGAAACTGCTGAGTCATTGATACTTTGCAGACTAATAAATTCTAGACAACAGGCCATATCTTCTTCCACTTCCCCCACTCCCCACCATGCATTTAACCATAACTTTCAAAATCATTGCTTGACTTGCTAAGTTCTTTTTGGGAGAGGCAACTAGGACTGCAACTGCCCTTTAAGTTATAGCCATAGGCAAGTCACAGAGGAGTGGGAAATTTCATACTCAATGAATAAGAGGTCTGTCTCTTCATGAATGCCATTTCTTGTTTAATCCTATCTGACTCTTAGAGAGCCCATTTAGGGTTTTCATGGCCAAGATACTAGATTGGCTTGCCATTTCCTTTTCTAACTCACTTTACAAATGAAGAAACTGAGGTAAACAGGGCTAAGTGACTTACCCAGGCTCATATAGCTAGTAAGTGCCTGAGGCCACATTTGAACTCAGGTCCTCCTGACTCCAGGCTCAGGGTTCTATACCCTGTGCCACCAGCTGCATTTATCCAAAAGTTCCCCTATTCAAAAATAAATGTAATATAAAAATAAAAGAAGCTTAATATAAGGGTGTC